AAAAATTGCAACGTACGATTTCTGAATCAAGCGGGTATAGTAGAGAAAATATTGGTTCAAAGAAAGAAGTTGAGGAGCGAATCGAAAAGAGAGTCCAGGATAATTGAAGAGGAAATGATAGAGTTGGTAGATGAAGACAATCGCGACCTAGTGGAAATATTGAATTCAACGATTATCGGCAAAGAAGTTCCACCCCACCTTGAATTGCTTTGGGAACAGCAAATGAAGCAGCTATCTGTCAAATCAACGAAAGGTCACCGATGGAGCCCAAGGTACTCAATATATGCTAATGCATATTATTTCAATTATTAATTTTAAAACAAAATTTTCTCTTCAGCTTTTATTAATGTTAACATCCTCGCCGTAGGATTATTAGGTTTGTTCTGGACGTATATTGTAAGAACCCAAAGGCCTTAGACGCAATGCGTGAATTTCTTGTTCTTCCAAGCAATCGTCTCATAAGGTTTGCAATGTATTTTCGTAAGTAGTTATAGTTTTAAAAGCATATGTCTTGATATTCGTACATGGGTATATTTGCAGGTACTATAAAAACTCAGTCAATCAAGAACCAGGATGGAACGACGAAATGATATCTTGGTGTCAGAAGGAAGCAACACGGCGTGATTTGAAACCAGAAGACTATTGGGGAGGCCTTATTTTGGACGAGATGAAAATACAGGTATATATATGTATGATAGAAACATTTCAATATACAATTATAATAGCGAGTCTGAGAATTGCGCCAGGTCTTATTCTAAGGAATCTTCATTACTGCACAGGTTTGAGTATCGCTTGTACTTACAGAGACTGAGGCCTTGAGGTGCCATATCATGATAGAAGGGCTAACATAATTTGGGTAAATTACTAAAATTAGGTACAACTTCGCATACATTTTGTAGGTTTTCGTAAATAGCTTAATATAACCTCTACATTGTAATGAAGTTGTAAGTATGTTCTATTTCCCATGCATACTTCGGTTTTATCAGGAGGATTTACAAATGACAGTAAAGGGTGGAAAACATCAACTTACCGGAATGGTGTCTCTTGGGGAATTTTACAACAATATGAAAAAGATTGAATTGCGTAAGCTATATATACAAATGGCTTATAAACGTCTAAATATAAATTATGACTATACAAACAACAACAACAATAAGCATGTTTCGTTACAGTTAAAGATTTATTTTTTCTTTAGAAAGCAATTCTAAAATTACGCTGGCAACACACATACTGCAATTTGTATTTCTAAGCGACGGAGGATTTCGCTTTCCGGTAGCCCATTTTCCAACAGAGCAGTGTCCACCTTCTGTGTTGTATATGATATTTTGGGAAGGTGTATTGCAGATGAGAAGAGCAGGTTTTACGTAAGTTTTTCTAGACTTACAAGAAACACAAGTTACAATAAATTAACCCTTAAGCCATCTACGTGATATGTACGTGGTACATACGGTACGTGGTTTTTTTAATATTTATACCTTATAGGGTATACTTTACTTTGTGTGATGGAGGTGACGCCAACAGGCAGTTCTTTAAAATGCACTTACAAAATCTTATTCCGCCATGTGACTTAACTTTCATTGGGTACAACATGATGACGGACGATCCCATGGTATTCCTGATGGACCCTAAGGTATGTCTTTATTTCATATAGATGAATTGCTAATACATACATGATAGAAGAAGTCTAATACATTCAGCTTACTGTTGATATTTTATATATCATTACATAGCACATGTTCAAAAAAATTCGAAACAACGTAGAGAAGAGCAGTGCACACGGAACTTCGCGTTGTCTGACCATATATAACCAGAATATCTTTTGGACGTAAAAGACAAGTGCCTACTGCAGTTGTATAGTTCTCTTCAATATTTTCGAAATTGGAACGAAAATACTACGACGCCCAAGCAGTTCCTGTCATACAAGTCCTGGTTTGACCTTCAGTCCATGATCCTTGGTTTTATTTCTTTGGTTGAAATAAAACTGACGCGATATCCTGGATCAATGATAAAACCTGCTATCGTCAATCAAGATGTGGTTGAAAACCATTTTAGCCAATTACGAGGCGCAAATGGCCAAAATGATAATCCCACATATCAAATGGTGCAGGGCACAACAAACTCGGTCGTATCTGGCCAAACCACTATCAGCACGAAATGCAATACAGGCACTGCAAAAAACGACTCTTTTGCTGGTCTACCGAAGGAACATCTGTTTAGTGGGAAGCGTACGATAATGCGTATATAATATGTGTACCTATATATAGCTCTATACATGCATGTATCTTCGCAGTTTACCAAATATTATGGATAATTTCACCCCTGAGATGACATGTAAAATATTCGTGAAAGTATTATTTACATATAGTTAACCTTTAACATTGTTATAAAATTTTTTCTTCTTTTTCTCTTTTCTTCAAATCTTCGTCCTTTTTTGCGTTCTTGTGTTCGGTCGTTGGTTCTGTAAAGGTTGAGTTTTCTAGCGTTTCATAAGTTAATCTTTACTCCGTCAGTCCACTGAAGGTTCAGGTGCTGTGCACGCCCTTTTATAATGAGGGTTCAGTGACTCTTGCATACGTCATCAACCATAGTGGGCTGATCCTTATCCAGCCAATCAGCGTTGTACATGTAATCAGTGGGTTGGTCTTAGAAGCTCGCTCCAGCTCTCATATTTTGTTTATTTAAGGCGTTGTCGCAGTGGTCGAGTTGGTCTTTCGCTCAATCGATCAATACTTAAAAATGTTCACAACTTAAAATATTTATCGTCAACATGCATTAAAATTATCAAACATTGTTTCTGTGAACCTTATTTTATAACTTAACTATTTATACTACTACTTTAATCGATTTAAACTTTCTCTGACGTAACCCATAAAATGCTCGACCGCGCATTATAAAAACACATTTGATTGACATAAGAGCTTCGCAGCTGCCTCAAGCATGCATATTTTCAATTATGACAGTTAAACTTGGCAACGACATACGACTGTTGATCCAGATGCGCACGTTCTGACAGGATGATTGATATTTTCACCTTACTACTTAATTCAATCCCACGAAATGTCATGCATGAAAGGAAATGTGATTAATGGTTGCGAATGGGCCAAAATTATATTTACTCAGACATCTTGTGGCAAAACTTAATCACTAATCCCTGTCATGCTCTTGCTACTTCTATTTTTATGGCTATTTTTATATGCGTATCTCAATCACTATGAAGCCTTGCGTAACAACATCATACATTGATAATGAAAAGTCGTGAATGTTAAAACACATGTAACATACACTATGTCTATATATATATATATATATATATATATATATATATATATATATATATATATATATATATATATATATATATATATATACAAAACAATAGAAACTCCGAAAATGTAAACATTTTTGGAAAGTTTACTTCTCAACGTTTCGACTGAACTATAGTCATCAAATTTTTACTGTTTTACATTATATCAAAATACCTACTTGTTAAAGCACTATGCATGGACTTTATTTCTAGCTATATCCAAATTTTGTAACACATGTAAATAAATTACGCTAAGACATGCAGATGTTGATGAATTATAATAATCAACAGAAAAATTCACGGTGCATGCATGTGTTCTGAATTTTTTAAAGACGACGTAGCCGTAATTTAATTTTCTCTTGTTCACCAGGACCGGCATGGGTTTCAACGGTGTCAACAACATAGACTGATGTTAGCTGGTGGCTAGGGATGCAGTCGTACTCACTTATGGCTTGGACAAAGGCTTTTGCGAGTTTCGTTTTGTTCCAGTTTGTCAACCATCGAATTTCATATGCACTGCACAACAGTTGAAGCTCAGCTTTTTTATATAGGCTCGCGATATCGTCTTTTAACTCGTTGACCAATGCTAACAACCGAATGTGCGATACACGCTTCCCAGGACTTTTGTCTTGTTGAATGTGGGCAATATGGATCTTCATACCTTTCTTTTTTGCTTTGTCTCGCCTTTGTATGAGCGCTTTTCAATGCGCTAATGACTTTTGCACATGAAAATCTCGGCGGAAGTCACGCAGGAACTGACCCGCACCCATTTTCAGATAACGTGTTATCACATCCTTGTATATTTCCAAAACCAATGTCTAATTAAAGGTAAAAACCAAATTTTAGCGCAAAAATGACGTCATAGACATAGTACTCCATAAATTACTGTAATCTTGTTAATTTTGTTATTAAATCATACAGCTAACATGTTTCGACATAATAAATTACGTTTCAAAATGTTTCCTTACTTTATTTAGAGCTGTTTCATCTTTAAAAATATCAGTAAAATGGTTCTGAAGAACATTGTTGTTTGCGACTTTTTCCATAGAATCGTCCACCATATCATTCCCCAAACCTGCCAATTTGTTTAGGTTAATTCTGTCAACACGCTCTTGCTCTAACTTCAGGAAAAATGCGTAAGTAGCGTCACTGATATGAAATAAGCCTCTTTCTCGGTATTGGCCAGAGTCAATGACGTGTAGGGTTTCTGGACTCGTCGAAGTCTCCTGAAGCACTTGAAAGTCAACAATCATGTTGTTTTCCAGAAGCTCCATTTTCTTCAGCTCATCGCTAAGCTTTCTTCGCACGTACGCGGTCTGCGACAACTTGTTTTCTCTGACATACCTGTTGATACAATAATGCGGATGTGTCGTAAAACACTAAATTTAGTAACCATGCGACTTATCCGTTAGTTTTTTAGTTTAAATTTTGGAAAGCGCAGGAAATATTTGAGGATTCAAGAACAGTATAATTTCTATCATAAATCATCATGCTTACCTGCGCGATCTCTCTAATGACTTCCGCACAGCCCAGCCTCCAATATAGCAAATTTTCCCACGACCATCTGGCCCCATATCTTCCACTCGAAATTTGAGAGGTTCTCTTTCTTGTGTTCGAACTATGTTCCCCAGTTCTTCGGCAAACAGATTGAATAGGCAGAACACCAGCTGTGTACCTAAAGTGCGCTGACCATCATTTAGCTCTGACCAGTGTTTTCTTCGAAGAACAACTGTCCAAACGTCCCTGCATCATTGTCGTCCATATCACAATCTATGATTCGATCATCCTCTTCTACTTGATTGTATTCTTTACATTGAAATAAGCAATCGTCAAGTTGGACATTCCCACAACACTGGAAGGTGAGATTAGGATCGGAGTTGTTCTCCAATAAAGAAGACAACGCATTAGGTAAGGGGAGTAGGAATTTTCTCCGGAAGCCTATCACCTGAAGGGCAGATTCTTCTCTTACTCTTGAAATTGCAACGTACGTTAGGCCGGTTACAAATTCTTGCGAGCAATGAACAACGGCTCGATCGATTGTTAAGCCCTGTGCTTTGTGAACTGTTATCGCATAACACGGACTTATGGGAAATTGTGTTCGACTAGCTTTCACTCCTCCATTACGGTCGTACTTGTACCAGGTTCGTCGTTCTATACACACTGTTCCAACTTTTGCGAAATAAACGAAGAGCTGTCCATCTTCATTCACTCTAACAAACCTCCCACGGCAACCATTCTTCAAGTGGTCGTTGATGTTGAAAAGCAACATGACGTTACACTCAGGTTTTAGGGTGAGGAATTTAGGAACAGTAGATTCCAGATACTGAGGAGAGCCAGTGTCAATGCTTTCGAAAACAAGAAGTTCACCGGGAAGACTTACCAGAACATCGACGTTGTGAACTTCCACAGGAAATTTTCGAAAATAGATGTGCACTGTGTCTCGTGGGTTGTCAAACTCTTCACTTCCTCGGCTGAGTGCATGAAAATAGGTTTCTGTTTCTTCATCGCATTTTCCGGTTCGCAGTTGGTCTAATGCCTTCTTTAATCGCTCTTCTGACGCACCTTGCCGTTTGACTTCCTTTAGCTCTATTCGATGAGAGAATGCCCGCTTGAAAATATCAGATTCATAAACAGGTCTTCCTGCATCGAGTACAGTTCTTATTGGTGGCAACTGACAAAAATCACCAACAAGTAGAACTTGAATACCACCAAAGGGATAGGTGTTATGTGACAGCATGTGATGTAAAGTGTTTACAAGTTCGAATATGCGTTGGCTTGACATTGAAATTTCATCCCATATTAAAACATCTGTGTGGAAATTAGGTTAGAAATGTTTTTTCTGCCGAGTGCCCTTTCCAATAATACACGACCAGGAACTTCCGCGGTTTGTAAACCATACTGTGAATGGACTGTTTTTGCCACTCCACCATACGGCACACATGCAACTCCACTGGAGCACACAACATGGCATGTCTTCCCTTTTGACGTTAATACTTTCCATATTTCGCTTACAACCGTACTTTTGCCAACGCCTGCCTTGCCAATAATACAAATGTTGTGGCCGTTTTCTGCCAGTCCAATAACATTTAGCTGCTCATTTGTAAATTCAAACCCAATGGTTGGTCCTGGGCTTTCCACCATATCAAATTCTAAAATTTAAAATTGACTAACTAAATAGATGCCATTATATAAGCTGTATTATCGGGTTATAAATAGGGTGGTCAGGCAAAAGTGACAAAGAGAAAAAGGGGAAAAAAGACTATTCAAAGATGAAGTCAATCGACACCGTCCCCCTATATCGTTCCTCGCACCATAAATTAGACGCAATAATTTTAAAATAACTCCTCAAACATGTAACATAATTTATACTGCAAAAATTAGCATACTGATTACACACGTGCGTCTTCCAAAACCAGTCGAACAGGTTTTTTCAACCTCATTCGTCATTCCGTCATTCGTGATTTGGCAAGGCTAGCTAGAGGACAAACAGTCGAACACGTTTTAATAAACGGTCTTTTTGGGGTAATTTATGGCTTCAAAAGCTTCGAGATTGTCTTCAAAATTGAGGAAAAACAACCAAAATGTTGTCGGTAAGATATATATTAATCGTGATGTAATTGTCTTTTGACTTTTCTCGATTTTAAGCTCTGACAAAAGGACTATGCGAACCACTGTCACGATTGTTGTGTCTTTTTCTCATTTTTTTTCTTTACACAGACACAGTTCATGGATTTTAGTACACAGTGCATGGATTTCGTTTTAGCTGCTTAAACAATACCGATCGTCTACCAGTATCGTGCTGGATTTATTGGCAACGGGCGTTTTGTGTTTTTACATTCATGTGGAAATGGAATGTGGAAGTGCTTCGCCATCGAATTTCTTTTTCGAGTGTGGATTACATACTGAAAGGCTTGTCTTACGGATTATGGATAAAAAATCATGGATAAAAGTAAATGTCATATACATGCAGGTACACAAATACTCTTTCCTTGTCGTATTTATATATTAAAACCGCGTGATCAAAGATGAAAGTTTTCAGTGAAGCCAGAACTGTCATGGTGAACTGCTACAATATCATGATATTGCCACGATGATAATTTCAATGGCGTCAGCAAAAATAAGTGCTATTGCCGGTTTACATTTTGGTTGTGCATAAGTCGCTGCCTTTACAGAATCCATTTAAAGATAATGATATAAAAACATTTTCCGGATTAATTGACATTGAATGCACTGTTTGTTTTCCTTCGCGGAAAATTATTTTAAAATGTAATAGTGCCAGATGTACGTATACGTAAATAATCGGCAATTGTTTTTATGCTTTTGTCCGGGAAAATTTTCCGTGTTTCATGTAATTCTGGTAAAAGTGCCAGTGTTTATAAGTTTTCTAAACATATTTTTGCGAGTTTTTGAAGTATAAAGACTCATAATATATCACATCTATAGCCGCGTTTTAAAATTCATATAAACTTACCAAAAAAAAGCGTTCACATTATTACAAAACCCCGCTGAAGGTTGCTCCATATCTCGCAATATTTACACACACTTCGAGCTACTTTGTAAACTCATTCCTGTGTTTAAAAAACAAGGGAAGTTTGTCAGATTTTCCCCAAAATAACTAGTCAGGGTATTTTTTGAAATTATTTAATAAAATTACGCACGCAACGCCTGCTCGGTTTGTTTACATACAATAATTGTAATGAAATTATCGTTTGCTACTGTGCCTTCCCTTTGTAAACTTTTGTATTTTACAACCATATAGTTCGTCTGTTGTTTTTAAAAATCACTGAATTACGAATATTATACGAAAAGTAGTTCACGTACCTGACAAAAATTCTCCACCGTGTTATTCTGTCACATTTTCAGCTTTCTCCGTAGCAGTTTTTCACGTTTTAAAATAAGTATTTAATATAAAACTTTTACTTCGTTGTTTTGTATTTTCACTTTCTTGCTCAAAATTGGTAGTAATCCCCCCCCTGCAACCCATTTTTTCCCCTCAGCTCCATCAAAGTTTCTGCAATTTTTGGCCAATCACATTTATGCGTTTATTTTAAAAAAATGACGTAGGCCACAACCTCTGGCATCCCGGTGTGAGACAGAAAAAATTCACGGCAAATACGTGAAAAAATGCATTTATTTTCGCTTTTACTTGCTGTATTAAAACACAACTTTTGCTATAAATGTAAGGAAAATTACCATTGTTTTACATTTTGGTATTTTTACTCAGTTTTTACTAGTTTATATGCATAATATTTGCTTTTTGTTTACATAGTGACTTCGTAAGTGCTAAGTAAAGTTGACTACCTTAGCATTATTTATTAAGAGATGCATTGCAATGTCGCGCGGCGTGCGTTTACATAGGAATGGGGCGAGTTCTTCAGGAAATTAATATTTTGCAATAGCTTTACTGATTATACTCACACACCACGAATTTTTGGGCCGCCTATGGTTGGTTTGCCTTTTCTCCTCCCTGCTGCTAACTTGCTAATTTTAAATTTATCTGTGCTACCTTGATCCTGCCTATCAATATCTTCTAACAGTTCATCTCTAATATCATCTAAGCTTTCTACTTCATTCACTAACTTTTTTTACCTAAAATAGCGTTATAATAACTGTAATTTATTTTGGAACAGCAAAATGTTTTTTAGGGATTAAATCATTTGTAGTGTGCCTAACAGCAAATTGACAAACTATTTGTTAGGGAGCATTTTAGATACTGGCATTAACAATGTGTGATTTAGTAATCAAATTGGATGACTGGCAATTAATTACTATAATTTTAACTCCACACCTTTAAAAGTTTTGTATCAGGTCAATTAAAAAATAAAGTGAGGGCACTTAATTGGGGTCAAATATCTGCCAATATCTGGTCTACCTGACCTAATTACCAACCAAAGGCAAGATGAACTAGTTAATCGTCTTACCTTTGGCTGTTAATTACATCAGATAGACCAGTCCCTAATATATGGATAAACAGAATTAGGTGCTATACACCCTTTTGCGCACCCCGGGTAACAAAAGATATTGACCAAATTGTATAATTTGGTTAACCTGTTTATGCATGGACACTGGACCGCATGACTCCCATCTAAATAGGCGGTGTTTGAAAGTTAAATTTGAAGTTAAAAACAAAATTTGAACAGGTATAAAGTTAATCAAGTTAGTAATATGAAATATAAAATAGATGGTAAAAATAATTATTTTGTATTATTTAGCATTATTTTGTATAATATGTTTTATTAAATTGTATTATATACTTAATTAGAGTAAATCTTCATTATATTAGGTCTGTAAGGGTCTGTGTACATTTTGTGGGTAGACTCATAAACTTCACAAATTCACATTATATATAGAATTCAAAAGGGTAATATTTTATCAATATATTTTGGTGAAACATGCATGATTTTCATAGCTAGAAGTCTGTTGAACGTGTAATAGTTTAACAAGTGCATCTGCCAAACAAATTACAAATCAAATTAATTTAAAACACAGCTAGAGTTAAACAAAATATGTATTGGCCTATGAAAAATTTAGGTACAGGGTTAGAAAATAAAAATTCCGACTATTAAAAGTCGAAATATCAATTTAAAAGAGAGTGAATATCATACTAAAATAATTTTTACCTTATCATCCAGCCTCTTTAACTTCATTTTGGTGTTTTTTAGTTTTCTGTTTTTCGCTTCAACAGCCAATGACCCCAGACGTTTTTGCCTCATATATTCGCCGACATTAAATCTTTTGTAAGTAGACGCCTTTGAATATGGCATGATTTTATGGTTTAAGATGCCGTTATTAAGAAAAAAAAACATACGAATTTACATAAAGCATAGAACTTTAAAAAAAAATAAAATAAACATACGAATTTGCATAAAGCATAGAACTTTGAAAAAAAAATAAAATAACAGCTGAAAGCCTTTCGATGGAATTCCTATACTAGCTGAAGTTTGAGTATTTTGGCAACTTCGAACGAACAACCGACATTTCCAGCAAAAGCCCTGCGCAAGACGCGAAGCTTCGTGTAAACAGCTTCAGTTTCCATGGCAATTTATATAGCAATTTGAAGCTCCTGAATGTCCCTATCTATCCAGAAATTTTTCTTTATGATCAAGAATATCCACAAACATCTATTTCTTGCGAAATTTGACACATTATTCGAAAACGATTTTCCCTCCCAGCATCCCAAAAACTCAAACGCGGTAAAAAAAAATTGCCACACTTTCTACGGGCGTTTTTCAAACAAAATATGCCAAGCGTGTTCAGTTCAAAAATTTGAAAACAATCATCCAAAATAGCAATTTTTGCCCTATATTAGGTGACAGATGTTGAAAGCTAAATTCTTTAATACTGATTTTGCTGAACTTGAATTTCAGTACAAATGTTCAGCAGGTATTAACAAAGGATACAAGACAGTATTAGACCAGCAATTCATTTCATTCAGTTGAAATATTTGAAAACAAATGTCCAAGATAGCAATTTTTGCCTTTTATTAGGTGACAGATTTTGAAAGCCAAATTCTTTAATATTGATTTGCTAGACTTGAAATTCATTAGGAATGTTCAGCAGGCATTGACAAAGAATACAAGAGAATATTAAACCAGCAATTCATTTCATTCAAATGATCTTCGCTTCAAGTAATCAACCACTTTACTGCCTTACTCATCAAACAAAGACTGTCAGAAATCTACTGTGATTTGCTGGAAATTAAACTAAATTAAATTACTGCTCACCTTGGATTGAGAA